CTATTGTACCAGCCCCAGATGATAGGTGAGGGTGATTGTGGAGCAATGGGTGGAATGAAAATTGGCAGGGGAAACCGAAGTACTCGGAGAAAACCAACCCCAGCGCCACTTTGTCCACCACAAATCCCACTTGACCAGACCCGGGATCGAACCTGGGCCCCCGCGGTGGGAAGTCAGCGACTAACCGCTTGAGCTCTGGCACGACCTAATCAGGTCTTAGAAAGATATAAAAGTACAACCAACGAATTGTAAAATGCAGCACGGTGTAGCGAAAATTGTGTATGTGTCTTAGTTTTCCTGTAACATATAACGAAATCAGCGAAGGTTTCACTGAGTCACGGCCACTTGACGGCTGTTGGCGAGTGTATACGTTTGCTCCGTTGCAATCTCGTTGACGTGTTCTACGAAACATCTTTTCTTGTTGCACGGCAGATCAACTTGAATCGTGACGCTAGTTGCCGCGCTGTATCGCCATGTTGCCACGTGTAAGGTGAGAGAGACAGACAGACCGACCATTCAAGTTCCTTTTTTTATTATTATGATTATTATTATTATTAGAAGACCTGTTGCATGGAGTTCGGTGAGTCATATGATGAGGTCATAGTGGTCGGTAGGACAGCGCCCAGTCTGCCCCACGGCAGAACAGAACGACGCGGTGAGGGGTACCCACTCTGCGTCATCTGATGATAATCATTCATACATTTCTTTAATAAAAATGTGTAAGGCGCGGGTCGGGACATAACAACAGATGTTGGTTCCAACTTCCTGAACTTTAGTTTAGGGCTTTATGCAAAATAAAGGTGTCTTCCCGCTGCACCCGCGGTGATTCTTTACCCTAGTGATGATTTGGCGCTACAGCCCTCATTTGGGCCAGGCCTACCTCCATGAAACTCTCCGTTTCACTTCGGTTTACTAGATCTTAGACATACGGTAGGACTCCTTGGGCAGGTGATCAGCTCGTCGCAAGGCCTCTACCTGTACACGAACACAGATAAACGAACACACACAAACTAAACATCCATGCCCTGAGTGGGATTCGAATCCACGATCCCGGTTTCCAAACGAGCGAAGACAGTGCATGCCTTAGACCGCTCGGCTACCGTGACCGGCAGTGTATAAGAATAATATATAAGAATTCAGTTCGTACCTCACAGGAAACAGATCCGAACCCACGATCCCGGCTTCCGAGCGAGCGAAGACAGTACATGCCTTAGACCGCTCGGCTACCGTGACCGGCAGTGTATAAGAATAATATATAAGAATTCAGTTCGTACCTCACAGGAAACAGATCCGAACCCACGATCCCGACTTCCGAGCGAGCGAAGACAGTACATGCCTTAGACCGCTCGGCTACCGCGACCGGCTACCCTAGTGATGATACCGCCTACTTTTTATGGAGTAATCCGGTGTTCTCCACATTTCTTCTTGTTACTGCTGGACAGTGATTGAAATAAATGGCTTTCCGGATCATCAAAACACAACGTTGCATGCCGTATAACGTCTGTAGTTGAAATAGCTTGCTTAAATTATTACCTAACAGCCATGAGTGGCCTGCCGATGATAGTGATGATGGTGATAGTAGTAGTAGTAAGTGTGTTTTGGTAGGGGCGCGCCATAGCTCAAGCGGTTAGTCGCTGGCTTTCCACCTCGGCGGACCGGGTTCGATCCCGGGTCTGGTCAAGTGGGATTTGTGGTGGACAAAGTGGCGCTGGGTCATGTTTTCTCCGAGTACTTCGGTTTCCCCTGCCAATCTTCATTCTACCAATTGCTGCACAATCACCCTCACCTATCATCTTGGGCTGGTACAATAGGCCAGAAGTGGCCACAGTACAAGGGACTTAGTCCCACCCCACTAGCAATAAAAAAGGGGTGGGGAAGAAAAAGTAGGGTGTTGGCCGAAGCCTAATGCTTGCTATCATACAGTCCAGAAACTTTTGTCTTTCATCGGCTGTCCAAAAACATAAAAAATTATAATATGCAAAACTATAATTTTGCCTGTGGTTCTGTATGGGCTTGAAACCTGGTCTCTGATATTAAGGGAGGAACATAGGCTGAGGGTGTGTGAGAACAGGGTGTTGAGGAGAATATTTGGACCGAGGAGAGATGAAGTGACAGGAGTTTGGAGAAAACTGCATAATGAGGAGCTTCATAACTTGTACTCTTCTCCAAGTAAAATTAGAATGATGAAGTCAAGGAAGGTGAGGTGGGCAGGGCGTGTAACACGAATGGGGGAGACTAGAAATGCGTATAGGATATTGGTGGGAAAGCCAGAAGGAAGGAGACCATTGGGGAGACCGAGACGTAGGTGGTGGACAATGTATCTTAGAGAGATAGAATGGGGTGGTATGGTCTGGATGCATCTGGCTCAGGATAGGAACCTGTGGAGGGCTGTTGTGAACACGGTAATGAACCTTCGGATTCCATGAAATTCTGGGAAGTTCTTAAGTAGTTGCACAATTGGCTGTTTCTGAAGAAGGGCTCAGCTCCATGAACTTCGGCTTAGTGGGGGGTGGAGTCCAACTGGGTCCATTCGGCACGGCGGCCACTGATTGGCCTATTGTAGCCTTCTCTGTATGATTATGATGATGGAGAATTTGGTGGAATGAAGATTGGCAAGGGAAACCGAGGTACTCTGAGAAAACTCGCTCCAGCGCCACTTTGTCCACCACAAATTCCACTTGACCAGACCCGGGATGGAACCCAGACCGCCGCGGTAGGAAGCCAGCGACTAACCGCTTGAGCTATGGCGCGGCCTCAGCAGCAAGAAGTTAGTTATACAGCCGAAGACGGAAGAGGAAGATTTCATGTGCCTAGAACGGAAGATTATGGTGATCGTTACGCTGCAATGTTCATAGACGTGTTCATGATTGTTCAGTGAATTAAACCGACACAGTCAAAACCAATAACGTAAAGTTTTTACCCGATAATTCAGAGATCGAAAGAAGAAAGGCCGAGTCAGACGACTACTGAGAAGAACATGACGGGTATTGTATTTTGTCTTATTAATATCGAAATGTAGGCCTGTGGCGAATTGTGGGATAGAAATCATGAGCCGACTGGGGCCAACGTTTCGTAGTAAGTAGCAGTTGATGATGTCACTTGGGGTCAACGTTCTCATGCCGACACAACACTTTGCCTTCCGCACGCCGACCAAACAATGAGTCGTTACAATGTAAAAGTAATATGGGCTGTGATGCCGCTTGTTTATCTATCGGAGATATTAACCCCATCTTAGAACGTAATAATCAGTTTAGAATTTGTATTACCCCATGCATTTTACTTGCAGACTAGATAGTAGTAGTTCAGCACATGTCAAAACTTTTCTATAACCTGTCAGATCTTTTTAGTGTGGTAATAAGTATGTAAACCACCTGCTTTCACTCTTTATAACACAGTATCTTCGTGTTCGAGAGGTCCCGGGTTCAAATATCGAACATGAGACCACTTGCAATCATTTCAATTTATTCTCATGAAAATAACAGGAAAATGTAAAAAAGAATAAAGTTGTATCTGTGCTTGAACTCCTCTGTGGTCTAGTGGTCAGAGTTCCTGGCTACAGATCCAGAGGTTCCGGGTTCGATTCCCGGCGCTACCAGATTTTTTGAGTAGTAGTGGGTCTGGAACGTGGTTCACTCAGCCTCGTGAGGATAATTGAGGAGATATGTCAAGGAAATAGCGGCTCCGGTCTAGGAAACCGAGATTAACGGCCGTGTGGGTTCGTTGCGCTGCCCACGTGACACCCTCTATCCACAAAAGTTGGCACTAACTTCGCCGACAAGCGGCGGTCGCTCGGTAGGTATAGTTCGCTTGCGGACTACAGGCCATGGAGTATTTTTTGTTTGTGACAATTTCAAAATGATTTTGAACGGAGAGAAACTAGAGGGAAAGCAGTTGCTGTTTGTTTCAAAGAACTATCCCGGCTTTCTTACGGAGGAACTGGGAGAAACCACGAAGGACTCAATCGGGATGGTCTGTACCCCACTCGCGGTTCAAACCGACTCAGATATAACTGGGAAACACCGCGGAAGTGTTATTGGATACCGAGGCGTGAAGGTTGATGGATTTGTGGAGGCATGACTTGGATTAGGGAAGATCAAAGGGAAGGCTGTCATGGCGAGAGTGAGTGTTGAGTTTCCTTAAATATGTAAAAAAAAAAAGGCCTACTTCTCAAGGAAGATGCCGTACTATGTAGTTCGATTTTTTTAAATTTATCCTGGTGTTGAAACACGCTGTTTCGAGTGTTGCAGATATTCTCCCGTCTCCCTGATGATGAAATTATGCTGAAAGCTGTGAAGGTGTTGTTGATCCAGACTTGATTCGTTATCGAGCGTGAGGTACTGAGGTGTTCAGGTAGAAGGTGTTGGTGTTCCAGATGTGTTTCGTTATGGAGCGTGAGGTACTTAGGTGTTCAGGTAGAAGGTGTTGGTGTTGCAGATGTGTTTCGTTATCGAGCGTGAGGTACTTAGGTGTTCAGGTAGAAGGTGTTGGTGTTGCAGATGTGTTTCGTTATCGAGCGTGAGGTACTTAGGTGTTCAGGTAGAAGGTGTTGGTGTTGCAGATGTGTTTCGTTATCGAGCGTGAGGTACTTAGGTGTTCAGGTAGAAGGTGTTGGTGTTGCAGATGTGTTTCGTTATCGAGCGTGGAGTACTTAGGTGTTCAGGTAGAAGGTGTTGATGTTGCAGACATGTTTCGCTATCGAGTGTGAGCTACTTAGGTGTTCAGGTAGAAGATGTCGGTGTTGCAGATGTTTCGTTATCGAGCGTGAGGTACTGAAGTGTTCGGGCAGTAAGTGTTGGTGTTACAGATGTTCCTCATTATGTCGAAACTGTTGATATTTCCGTTGACGTCATATTGATGGTGCTGAATTGGATGTTGATGTGGTAGATGAACTGACTGAAATTCTGCCGAAGCTATTAATGTGTCGGTATGCTGGGTATTGACGTTGCAGATAGTTGTCGATATGTATTGGTGTTAATGGGATGTTGGGTCATCTGTTGCAGGTAGTTCGCTGGTAGCCGGCAAGATTTCCTCGCCGTGGACTCCCGCCAGCTCCGGGCCGCCGGCCGATACCAATGGCTCCGGCTCGGATTCCAAAAATCTCGACGTCGGGGACGAGGTAAGCGACGAGGTAACGTGTGAACAAATTATTATTATTTACATTATTATTTACTTTATTATAAATGTCACGATTTAGAGGCATGACTATAGACGGGGTATGGATTGGTGAATGGATTTATTGATCACTTATAGACACCACTCGGAACTACAAGCAGTTACTGCGCTATCGCTGCTCTCCACACTTGTAACTGAACTCTCTGAATTCTACTGATCGAAGTTAAAAGTCAAAATCAAAGTCAGAGTTACTTTACGACTGGCGGTTTATCGCCTATCAGTTTATCTTGGCGTTAAGCCCCTAGAGACCGGAGACCAGAGATTTTTTTCTCCAACTGAATCGTTACGGTATCAGTCCTCATGTAACATCCTCTCTGACGAGAAAATGGGTTTGTCTCTTATGAATATGCTTGGCCTTTCGTTAAATACACGTATCTTTTCTCCCCTGCCCGAGTCACATGTTAAGCGTAGTTGCTTAAGGCACTATGGTACAAGCCGGAAGGTCGCGGGGTTGATTCCCGATGAGGTCACTGAACTTTTTCAGTTGATTTAATCCTTCCAGCCGCACTGTGTCCCTGGGGTCGACGATGAGGGACGCTGCTCTTGCTTGAAAAGCGTCGCGATGTATTTCTTCTTTTCTTTCTGTATTAGAATTTGTTACGATTATAATTGTAGCGTGGAATTATAAGGAGATTTTCAGTAATGACCGGTCTAGAAAACAGAAATTAACGGCCGTGGGAATTCGTTACCACGCGACACCCTCTATCCGCAAATGTTGGCACTAACTTCGCCGACAAGTGGCGGTCGCTCGGTCGGTATAGTTCGCTTGCGGACTAAAAGCCACCGAGTTTTATCCAGTAATGAATTGGAAAAATACAGAAGGATAGTTCAGTAATGTAATTTAAAGTACTGTCTTGGGAAATGCCGTAAAGAATTGAAGGATATCTTGAAATGTTCGTTCAGGATAGGCTCCTACCTTGCTCCATGGAATAATCTCTGGGTTGTCAGTAGGCTTGCGTAATGTGAAAACAAAAATGTCTGTTCTTGCCTTTCCTTTCTCCAAATATTGACTTAACTGGGCGATCATACATATTTGTGTACATTATATTAAGTCATCTGTATGCATGACTTACCAGCTTTTTAGCTGCAGTTATAGCAACTGGGTTAAGAGAAGAAGCATGTGAGAATGTCGTGTCTGTTTCATCTCCGAAAACTATTCCATGGATATCGACCAAATATTATATTGTATGTTAACACTAAAAGTCGACGGGCGAATTTGATTTCATTCCTTGAGGTTCGGTACAGTCCCGAATTTACACAAACCTTAAATCGAACAAATTTTTTAAAATCATGGCACCATAAAAAACTGATACATGGCCTACCCGTAGCTAAGTAAAACAAAAAAAAAACAGACTTCGTGGCTTTAGTCCACAAGCGAACTATACCGACCGAGCGACCGCCGCTGGTCGGCGAAGTTAGTGCCAACTTTAGCGGATAGAGCATGTCAAGTGGTCAGCGCAACGAATCCCCACGGCCGTTAATTTCAGTTTTCTAGACCGGAGCCGCTATTTCCTTGAAATAGCTCCTAAATTATCACCACAAGGCTCAGTGGACCCCGTTCCATACCCACTACTTCTCAGAAAAAAATCTGATAGCGCCGGGAATCGAACCCGGACCTCTGAATCTGTAGCCAGGAACTCTAACCACTAAACCCAGAGGCGGTCCCCCGTTCCTAAGTAATGAATCTGTAAACAAAACAGAGGTCGTTCCTAAGTAATGACCTTAAACAGTAACACAGGATTGGTGTTCTTTACGCGGTCCAAGCGATAGCCACGTGATACAACAACAGAACTGTTGGGAGAGGTTTTCTGTGCTGTCCGTGCTGAGGCACTATAACTAGGAACAGCTGCAATTACGACAGTCGTGAGACGGCAGTGAGAGCCATAGGACGCTGATGTGATATGACCGCCAGCCTGGAAGTTAGTCATTTGGAGTTAGTTGTGAGACAGGCGCCAGCACGGAAATAGCGGGCACTGTTAGAAGCCGTTACCAGGCAACGACTGGTGAAGATAAAACAGACTGAGAAGATTTAGTTCGTGCTGTAGTGAAATGCTGAGTATGTGAATTAGCGATAGCGCTGTAGTTACATGTAGTTACGATCTGTTAAAGAGTTCAGTAAATCCAATTACCAATCCAAACCACGTCTATAGTCACACAAAATAGTGACAATATAGTTAAGATCTACATTTTTCTCTTATTTTTGTTTGCATGAGGTATTTATTTAACGAGATTCAGGGAGACTAATGTATTTATGTATTGGGATAAAACTGTTATGTGATTCGTCTGTGTGAACAATTTAATACCAGGTAGAGTAGCATATCTGTTTTGTTTGTCAGCAGTAGTTTATAAGTGCCAGAAAAGAATGTGAGGAGAGGAGACAGGCTTGGAAAAAGCAGATTTAGAAAGTCTGCTTCTTCATAATTAGAATCACCATTAGTCTTTTGTTTATATTATAAAGGCGAGAGGAGCCGGTCACGGTAGCCGAGCGCCCTAAGGCATGTACTGTCTTCGCTCGCTTGCAAACCGGGATCGAGGGTTCGAATCCCACTCAGGGGATGGATGTTTAGTTTGTGTGTATGTACAGGTAGAGGCCTTGCGACGAGCTGATCACTCGCCCAAGGAGTCCTACCGAATGCGTAAGATCTAGAAAAACCGAAGTGAACGGAGAAGTTCATGGAAGTAGGCCTAGGCCCACTGGGGCTGTAGTGCCAAAAAAAAACAAAACAAAAGAAAGGCGAGAGGAAGGTTCATTGCTTTATGTTTAGTAGGCGTAATAATTTAGAAATGAATCCTGCGCTTATCTATCTAATTATTTCTTTTTAATTCGCTTAGTGGGGGGTGGAGTCCAACTGTGTCCATTCGGCACGGCGGCCACTGATTGGCCTATTGTACCTTCCCCGGCTGATTATGATGATGGGAGAATATGGTGGAATGAAGATTGGCAGGGGAAACCGTGGTATTCGGAGAAAACCCGCCCTAGTACCACTTCGTCNTCTTAACCTCCCATACTAAATAGTTTTAAATATATATATTTTTAAAAAAATATATAGTATTTTTTTAAATATTTCCATAATATATTCAACATTTTATAAATCTTGATATATGTATATATTGTCGCGTGTTTACCAGGTAACGCGGCAAGAAATTTGGGTCTCGGATTAAACGAATACGTATATTGGGCAATCACTTAGTTACACTCACTAATATAATCACTCTCGCTTATAACGCCTTCAGACGTTTCCTCTTCAACTGTTATAACCAGGGCTCGGATTTTGATGACCTGAAAATATTTAAAAAATGACCTATAAAATGACAGAAAAAAATCCAGAAAAATGACCTAAAGGAGAAAAGAAAGAACACTTCGCGTCCGTGTTATTCACATTTCAGAAAACATATGAAGAAAAATTCCCTAAAATTGCCAAAAATGCCAAGAAATACCCTCAAAAGTCCAAAAATTTACCAAACAATTATCCCCCAAATGGAAAAGTGACATTAATCCTAAAAATGTCAAAAAATTACCTATAATATTTACATTTCTGTAACCAGCATCTCATATCCGAGATTTATATATTTAAGGGCATCGCATAGGATACAAGGAAAAAAAGATGACATCTCATCAAAATCCGGGCCCTGGTTATAACACTCATACACCGCTATTCCCAGTGGAGTGTCTTCTCTGTAACCTCTTCGTATCACTTTGTATCTCGGCCCGTTGTTATCTGGTCTCAATTCCGACCTGTTCCTCTCTTATCAGCTACCGTCGGACGGGCTAGAAGACATTTTGTTCAAGGTTTCCTTTTCGCTGTTAGCTGGTCTATCCGATGCCGCGACAATTCGACAATTCTGCCTCTGTTGCGTAGGCAGTTTCCTAGGCAACATGCGTTCTCATTGTCCGTTGCGCAGCAGTGGATGTGTTATAGTCCGGCTTTCAGGCAGCACGTCACAATATGTTAAATATCTGCTATCTTATTTTGTATCTTCTGCTTTGATTGTAACACCAACTTGAGGCACTGGTATGGGTCCATATCGGTAGTTCAATAACTAAACCTATTCCTATATATATAACTGCCTGATGATGGTCTTGTACGACCGAAACGTAGCAGGAATAAGAGGTCGAACTGTAAAACATTAAGGCTGGGGCCACACGAGCGCACAAAATGCGTCCGTTGTAACGAACATAGTGACGTCCGTTGTAGAAATAAAAAGGAGAGGCGAATGCTACTCTTTCTTCTGGCTCCATTGCAGATAAAAATCTGCGCACCGCATTCTGAAACTGTGTAGTGTCCCCAGCAACGTCCGTCATGAAGTACGTTCGTTGCAACGGACGTACTTCGGGCGCTAGTGTGGCCCCAGCCTAAAGAGCCAGTATATTTGTTGTGTTGACTGATATCCTAACTCCTGTTCAGGATGACAAGGACCTGGCAGCCGCGGATGCAGAGGGCGTGTGGAGCCCTGACATCGAACAGAGCTTCCAGGAGGCTCTGGCAATCTATCCTCCATGTGGCCGTCGCAAAATCATCCTCTCAGACGAAGGAAAGATGTACGGTGAGTGTCACGTTATGTTCATATGAATTTATTTCAGCATCATGACAATTTTTTCCCCTTTTATCTGCTTCGTTGTGAGCCAGGACAGCTAAGTCACTACCGGCCAGACGACCACAGTTTGATTTCCAGTAGGGGATAGGATTTTTCCGTTCATTTCCAGTGTTTCCCAACCCGCTGTGAGCCCTATCCAATATCCTATCGAGCGTGTAGGGTGAAAGCGGACGGAGTCTGAAGGTTATCAGCATGTACGCCTCTGCGGCTTGGCGTTTAGGCAGAATTTTATAGTGTCTGCTTGTATAATAATGGTGAAGGACGATTTGACAGAAACGTGTAAGGATCACACTGTCCACCGTCGTGGAATTTGCGTCTTGGGACTGAGAAAGGACTTCTGTACTTATATGGTCTGTCCCTCTTTGCCGAGATTCGAACCTGCAACCCTTCGACTATAATGACGATACCGATATGTTCGATGGCTTTGGGGGGATGCTTCAACAATGTTGTTGAAACATCGTCAAGAAACAACCCATCGTGACTCTGATTGCATAGTAAACTCCGTGGCTTGTAGTCCGCAAGCGAACTATACCGACCGAGCGACCGCCGCTTGTCGGCGAAGTTAGTGCCAACTTTTGCGGATAGAGGGTGTCACGTGGTCAGCGAAACGGATCTCCAAGGCAGTTATTGCGTTGCCTGCGAGAAAAAGGTTTCGGTAGTTCTCATTTTCGACATATAACAGACAGACACAGACAGCGCGCTGTATTAACGGTCGTGCTAGACTATGCCGACCGCCTCAGTGATCTAGTGGTCAGAGTTCCTGGCTACAGATCCAGAGGTCTGGGTTCGATTTACGGCGCTACGATATTTTCTGAGAAGTAGTCGGTCTGGAACGGGGTCCACTCAGCCTCGTGAGGATAATTGAGGAGCTATTTCAAGGAAATAGCGGCTCCGGTCTAGAAAACCGAGATTAACAGCGGTGGGAATCCGTTCCGCTGACCACGCGTCACCCTCTATCCGCAAAATTTGACACTAACTTCGCCGACAAGTGGCGGTCGCTCGGTCAGTACAGTTCATTGCGGACTCAAGCCACGGAGTTTCTTTTCTTATTCAAAGGTTAGAGAAAAGTGGGGGGGGGGATGTGATTTTTTTTGAGATGTGTATTGAGCTGCAAACGTGAAGCGACACCGTGATTATTGATCCACAAATATCAAAGTACATTAGCCATTACCTGTTGAGAGGTGTGAATATGCCCTATTAACTAATCCCTGTTCATCCCACTCGAATGGCAAAACACCACAATGCTGTTAGCATTATCGGGTGGCAGATTTTAACATTGATTCAAAACCGATAAGCGCAACGGTAATTGCAGTGGTACGTGTATAGGATGAGTGAGTGAGTGAGTTGAATGAAGTTTCGTGTGGACTCATCTGTTGTGTCTGGTTCGGACGCAGTAAATACTTATTTTTTTAGGTATGAATGTTCTTCCCCTGTACCTGACGGCGGATGTTACAATTTAATTGTTAACATTTCGAACCGCAGACGTCCGCAATATTCTTTTTGTGTCTATACCTGTTTTTTTCCCCACTGGCTCTACAGCCCCCTTGGGCCCTGGCCTCTGATTTTCAGTTTCATGATCATTTTACAGATGGTAGGGCTCCTTGGACGGGTTATCAGCTCGTCGCATGGCCTGTACCTGAACACAGGACAACACAAACACAGAATAAACACACAAACATCCATGCCTTGTGTGGGATTCGAACCCACGATCCCAGTGTCCGAACGAGTGAATGTAGTTCATGCCTTAGACCGCGCGGTCACTGTAATCGGCCTCTCTGTACCTATTATGCCCTGCAAAATGTCAGGATACTGCCATAATTATGTGGGTACCGTAACAGTGGGGGCACGCGGTAGCGTAGTTGGTTGAGGCACTATGCTACAAGCCGGAAGGTCGCGGGTTCAAGTCCCGATGGGGTCATTGGATTTTTCTCAATTGACCTAATCATTTCAGCCGCACTAGGCCCTGGGGTTTACTCGGCCTCTAACAGAAATGAGTACCAGGAATTAATTAAATAATTTTCCTGGGGAGTAAAGCGCGGACGGCGCGTAAGGCTGACAACCTTACCGCCATCTATGAGCCGATTGTCTAGATAATGTGGGACCCTCAACGTCTCACAACCCTATGGGCCTCCACGGCCTGGTACAGGGCTAGCTTTACTTTTACTTTTTTTACTTTCAACAGTAATTGTGTGTTTTGAAAACGGAATGGACATCTAATGATCTCCAAATTTAAGATAGTCATGTATTAATCCGAATCTATTTACTCTACCCATGAGGCTTGAAGCTACTTCCCTTTGAATTTCGTTATATTTCTGCTGTATTTAATAATTTTACGAATGAAATATTTTCAGTATGTTGTGTTAACGTCCTCTCTGTTTTAACGGGCCGTTTGTAATTAAAATCATTAGCGTTAGCGTTGAGCTGAGAAGAGAGCAGAATTTATGTTCGACCCATATGAATCAAATTGAGTCTTGACAATTTTAGTGTAGCCCCCTCGTACCACATTTAGTCGAGATCCGCCCAGCGCTTTACAATATGAATCGTGCTGATACATGGACAGGCAGTTACACATTGCGTGCTCATTTTACGCACGTAAAGATTACATGCGTCATTCTCATCACAAAATGTATTTGTTTAGTGACGCTTACGGCTACAGTAGACTTTTTTTTTAAAATGAAGGAATCTATGACATTTGCGAGGACAGAAAACCGTGAATGAAATAGTTGTCACGGCAGCATAATGATTTAATGGACTGTTAATGATCATTTTGCCCATCACAGTGGCCACGCGATCTAAAGCATGGACTCTTCGCTGGGTTCGTGGCTTCGAATCCCACTCGAGGCATGGATATCTATGTGTATTGTATTCTGTGTTTGTGTTGTCCTGTGTGTAGGTAGCGGCCTTGCGTCAGCTGATGGAGTCTTGCCGACTGTCTACAATTAAGAAACTGAAGTGAAACGAATCATTTCACGGATGCCCTGTGCTCTTAAGTGGGAGCAACAGCGATAGATACATAGTTAGGAAGATAGACAGGCAGATAGATAAGTAGATAGATAATCTTATGATAAGTAGTGGATCCCACAGAGGTAGAGTGAGAGGGTGTGGAGTGGATTCATCTGACTCAGGACAGGGTCCGGTGACTGGGCTGTGGTTATGAACCTTTCGTGCTCCATAAATTTCGTAACTAGCTGAGTGACTCTCAGAGACTGCAAGGCAGGGTTATTCTCCGTGGAGTGACCTAACAGTAACATTTCTATAAAGCAAGCTTTATACTCACGTTTTCGCGTGGACAAGGCTGACATAGCAGGCTGTAATAGGCATAGTGAGAACCGTATCGTTGGAGGAAAGTTATATACATTGGTAAAGTAAAGTAAAGCTATCCCTGTAACAGGCCGTGAAGGCCCATAGGGTTGTGAGACGTTGTACGTCCCACATTATCTAGACAATCGGCTCACAGATGGCGGAAGTTTGTCAGCCTTACACGCCGGCCGCCCTTTAACCCAGGAAGATTCCTGGTACTCATTTCTGTTAGAGGCTGAGTCGACCCCAGGGTCATAGTGCGGCTGGAACGGTTAGATCAAAAAGTAAAAGTAAGTAAAAAAAAGTAAAGGTATCCCTGTACCAGGCCATGAAGGCCCATAGGGTTGTGAGACGTTGAGGGTCCCACACTATGTAGACAATCGGTTCAAAGATGGCGGTAAGGTTGTCAGCCTTACGCGCCGGCCGCGCTTTCCTCCCCAGGAAAAGTATTTAATTAATTCCTGGTACTCATTTCTGTTAGAGGCTGAGTAAATCCCAGGGCCTAGTGCGGCGGGAAGGATTAGGTCAACTGAAAAAAATCCAATGACCTCATCGGGACTTGAACCCGCGACCTTCCGGCTTGTAACATAGTTGCCCCAATCAACTACGCTACCGCGTAAGTAAGTAAAACAGCTGGCTGAATCGTCATCATATGTATTAATGGCGCCATGCAAGAAGAGAGAAAGAAGTCTTGTTTCGACGAAGAAAATGAACGAGGTTTTGTTTCCCAAAGAAATGCGCAACACGGGGTAGGCGGAAGGTGCTGGGCGTCGTGTGTGTGTGTCCAGTTATTGACCGTGTCCAGCTGCCGCCCGTCTGTCCAACGTCCCCCCGGGAAAATGGGACGGAGAGGGGGAGGAACGTCGCACGCCAAGAAATGCTCTGCTTCCTGATCTACTTCGTCGTCGAAATGCTGGTCGCCACTTCTCGCAGCGTCGTTGTTCTTCATGCAGGTGGATTACGCCGCCGTACAGTCGGCCATGACAGCACACCGTACACAGACGCTTCGGTGTCATCCGTAGGAAGGCGAAGTCATTCCACTGTTTCTAAGCACCACACGTGGACACGTATAGAAATGGATATAAGGCTCTGTGCATTCGTAACCCGGGGCTGTAAATATAGGTCAGTGGTTAGTTTCAGGCTCCAGCTGTTTTGTACGCCGAGAAAAGATCCCACGGCAAATTCAGATAGTCTGGATGTAGTGTTGAGAAGAAAAAATGTCCGTATTGGTGGTCCAATCCGCGGACGGTCGCTTCAGTGGCCGAGTTGATCTGGCTACTGGGATATCGTAGTCGGTATAGCGACTGGCTACGGGCTGGACGACCGAAGTTTCGGACTTCAAGTCCCAGTAGGGCCAAGAATTTTCTCTTCTACACGTCGTCCAGACCGGCTCTGGGGTCCACCCAGCCTCGTATCCAATGTGTACCAGGGTCTTTTCCCCGGGGATAAAGCCACCGGGGCGTGAAGTTGACCAGTCACCTCCAACTAGTGTCGAGGTCAAGAAAATATGGATCTATACATCCGCTCCCCCATACACCTTCATGGCACAGTGCTTAATTGGTTAAGCCCAGGGACAACTTTTCCTTCACCTTTACCTTACATATTTCGGCCATGGAGGTTGGCTATATTTTATGTGTCAGACTGTAGTT